AGAGGATTCTGACTGTTTTTCACGTACAGGGGTAAATATTTCCCTTTTTGGGTTTTAACCTTTAAGGTTTCTATCCTGGTCTGGAAATATTATTTTCTTGACATAATTAACTACCCGATTTATGAAGTGGTACCAAATGGAAAATACAACTTCTAGTGCAACGTGATTGGAGAATAATAAGGGGCTCAACATTTCATGCACGGCTTTATTTCAGTTTGATAAAAGTAGAAGGTTTGATATATTTGGTTGGTGGTTGATTGCTTTGCATATAGTTGTGTTGACAGATTATCTTTTATATTAGCTTACTGAAAATGGGACAAAACATGAGTAGAGATTAATATTAAAAAAAAAGGTCAAATTAATAAAATGTCAATGTGAATACTGAAATCAATCGCATACAAAGCAAGCCTAGCATGGCCAACTGAAATGAATCCGATTCTACTAGAATTAGGAATTCAAAGCTAAAACCCTTGAGGTCCTTATTTTTAAATAGAAAATAGAATCCTAATCCCATTATCTTTGCGATGTCTTATTTGATGAACTCTAAATCCTAAGTTCCATAATAAATCATAGTTAAACCGTAAAGCTATGATTCTATACGTCAAGTATACAATTCAAGTAACATTAATACAATCCCATCACTCGACATTAGATGATTTTTTTTTTTTAACACAAAAAAAAATCAGGTGAAGATGACGGGTTAATTGTTAGAGGGGTTAAATTGCATTGTTTAACTAGTACTTGCTATCAAGTCAGGAACATCCCTCAGGAGCCTGTTTCCTAATCTTTTGCTAAATATTCATGACTATTCCTAGCTCCTATACGCCTGATGAAAGGCTATGGTAGCCTTCCCAGGACTAAGACTTTTATCCTAGTTAAAGGCCTGTGACTCTGATTCCTCGGTCTCAGGCAGAAGAGCCCCATTATTTTTTTGCAAGGCTGGTTACGGTAGTGTTATTATATCATCTCTTCTGAATTGTTGAGTTTCTTAAGTCACACTTGACCATAAAACTGTATTTGCTTCACCATTAAGCTTTGGCTCAGTGATAGTTATTTGAGCCGATCTGAGTTTTCAGTTGAAACCAGAGTTCACGTTTGAAAGAATTAAAAAAAAAAAATGTACTTGTATTTTGAAGTGATTCCTTTTCTTTTTTAATTCAGAATTTTCATTCTTTTTTGTTGCAGGGCTTCATACGGAACTCCCCTTTTGATCCACACAAATGGATTATACCCGGAGATAGATCTGGATGTGTTTCTTTAACAGAGGAGCTGGCATCTGATATGACAAAGATTTATGTTAATGGAAATAGAAAAATAAAACCTAAAGTCATCGCAGATGTTGTTGAAGCCTTGATTGGGGCTTTCCTTAGCACTGGCGGAGAGAAAGCCGCTTTCAGGTTTATGGATTGGGTTGGAATTAAGGTGGATTTTAAAATTACACCCAATAAGACGAATTTAATTATACATCCAGAGAAGCTTGTAAATGTCAGATTTCTGGAATCGTTGTTGAACTATTCGTTCAATGACCGTTCCCTCCTGGTAGAAGCTCTGACGCATGGTTCGTACATGCTGCCAGAAATTCCAACATGTTATCAGGTATCTCATAAGTGCTGAATTTTTGTTTGATTTTAATGTCAGTATCTTTTTAGCTAAACTGGAAAGTGTACTTTGTTTGCTGGTATGGCTCAGAAACATGCTATTCATAGAACGGTTGGATCTAACTTTTCCTTTGACCATTTGACCGTAAGATAACTGAGGCTGAACTGAAGTTTCCCAAAGTCTGCTTGAGACGCTTAAATATGCTAGTCAAACATCATCTTCCGACAACTGAGATAGCTATTATTATTAGTTTATCATACCAAAAGAAAACACTTGCGTATGATTATGGATCTATGAATAGCAAAATTTCAGGCTCATTCCTTTAGTATCAGCCTATCTTATGGAAGATTTGATGTATCCCATGATTAGTAGTCACTATATTTTTGCTCGTTTTTTGTTTCTTTGCTATTCAAAATTATTAACTAATATACACAAATTTTCCCTGCAGCGACTAGAATTTCTTGGGGATTCTGTGTTGGATTTTCTTGTTACTGAGCATCTGTACAATAAATATCCTGGCTTGTCTCCGGGGTTGTTGACTGACATGAGGTCAGCTTCTGTAAATAACGATTGTTATGCTCGGTCTGCCATTAAGGCTGACTTACACAAGCACATACTCCATGCTTCTCAAGAATTACATAGGGATATTGTTGCTACAATAAAGGATTTTGAAAAGCTGTCTTCTGAACCAACTTATGGATGGGAGACAAGGACATATTTCCCCAAGGTTAGCCATCACTATTCAGTTCATCGATCTTAAAGCAATGTCCTGGTTTTGAATGTATGCTTATTCATATTACTGCCACAGCAGTGTTTCTTGTACATCTATTTGAATATTACTACCTTTGGTTCTTAATATAAGATCTAATTTGTGGTTCAAATTTATGTTGGGATCCAGAACTCGTAATGTTGGCGGCTAAGGACCAGAAGATTAGATTACTATTAATGCTTTTCAAACATACAACTCATGTTCCTTTAAGATGCAATCTGTTTTTTTTTCCAGTGTTGCAAAGGTATTTGGGATCCTATACTACCTGTAACTAATATTCTTACTATTGATAGGTACTTGGGGACATCATAGAGTCTCTGGCTGGAGCAATTATGGTGGACTCTGGATTCAACAAAGAGATTGTGCGCAGAAGCATCATGCCTCTCTTGGAACCTTTGGTCACACCTGATACTGTACAGATTCATCCTGTTCGTGAGTTGCAAGAACTTTGCAGTAAACAACATTATATAATGGAAAAGGCATTGTTGTCCGCAAACAATGGCTTGACTTGTGTCACAATGAGGGTTCTAGCTAATGGAAAAATTTATCAGGAAACCTGTACAGCTGACCACAAGAAAACAGCAAAAAAGCTAGCTTGCAAGGAAATTTTGACGTCCTTGAAGAACACCAATTCTGCATGAGGAAACCAGCAAGGGTATATAATATGGAATTCTGATTTGGCTAGCTAGCAAGGTCTCATAATTTATGGAATTCTGATTTTTGATAGATCCTTATGTACTGCTTTTTGCGACGTTTAAATAAACTGTGGCAAGTGAAATCCAGTGAAATTAAATTCATGATTTGAGATTTAGTAATTTATAGGTTGCTTTTGTGGGTAGTTCCTTAATAAATGATATTTTTAAAGGCACTTTTATTTAATTATGAGTATTTTTTATTTAATTATGAGTACTTTTGGAAAGAATAAAAATTTCTGGCAAATATGAGCTACTTGGTCTGTGTGTTTTTGGTCGCCATTTAGTGTTTTATTATACTATCTCTGATCCTTAATTTATTTATCTTATTATTAATGAAAAATTTCATATATAAATAGAACAATCCTTACAAAATATAAATACTATTTCTTTGGTCTTATTTATAAGATAAAGAGAGAACATTTTTTTTTGTCCTATTTATAGGGTACTAAAAAATTTTTTTGTATAAATATACAATTTTTACTTTGTTTACATGAAATATATTTTATATTAAATAGAAAATTGTTGAATTTTAAAACTGAGCTAATAAAGTTTAAAATTTTTCTTGTGTAAAATATGTTAGAAGCAATTTATAAAGAAAACGAGGAGATCAAAATATTCGCAAGGTCTGGTTTCCAATTTGTATCCATTAAACAAGTCATTGAAATTCCCAAACTGATACATTCTCGGTATGAGGATAAAAGAGACTTGCACACGTTTTTGGTTCAGAGAATGATGCGGTAATGACGTAAATAAAATTATTCACTGTGAAAATTGCATGTCATTAGGGGTCATTGATCTGACCAAAAAAAAAAAAAAGAAGAGGTCATTGACATTTTTTGATGAATTTTTAAGCAATATAATGTCATGGATTTTAATTTTGTATTGTATTAATTATTATGATAAACTTTGCTATAAATTTACAATAAACACGTCATTTATTTTATAGGTGCTAATTCTTTAAAATGAGTGTTTCTTCAATTTTTTTTTTTGAAAGTTGGCAAATTGCGGCTTTTACGTTTTAATACTTCCAATCCTTAATATAAGAGCTAGTTGATTAATTTGAATAAATTAAAAAACTAATTAAGTTAGTTATTTGCAATAAATAAGTATTTTTTTTAAAATATTTTTGTTAATCAAGTGTAATGACTAGAATTAACATCAAGGATTATTTTAAAAAAAGTAAATAAATATAAAAAAAGTGGATTGAGATCTTATATTTAAGATCAAAATAAAAATCAAATGAACTCTTATATTAAGGATCGGAGTAGTATTAAATAGATTATTTGCTTTTCTTTCCCTCTAATTATAAGATCTCATTTGTAGACTACAAATAAGATCTTATAATTAGGAGGATACGTAGTATTTTTGAACGTTTCTAGACCCGTGACGTCGTAGTTTTCAAGACTTGCGTAGTAACTGCCACCAGCGGACTTCTCCCATCCTTCGACTTCCGGGTGTCCTTTCTGACGATAATTATTACTACTACTATTATTATATGCCAATAATATGTGAAGTTAACTGCTGGCAAAATAATAATAATAATATATGAACTTAACAATTTTTTTTGGGTTCAGAGAAAGTTAAAACTTTGCATGGTTACAGAAAGTTAACCTGTACATGCATGAAGTTTTGCTTCAGAGAACTTCCCTTGAGAGTGAGACTGGCCCATCTGCCCGGTTGTATTTATCGGTTTCCTTCTCTCTGAAAGCGATAACCAGTACTTGTGGGGTCTCCTTAACTTCAAAGTTAACTTGCGTAAGAAGCAGAGCCAATGGCCTGTGTAGTATTTATACTTTCGTTTCAGAGAACTTTGCCTTGTGCCTGCTTGCCTTGTAGTCTCTCTTTCTCTCTCACCTTCGTTTCTTCAAGTTTTTCACCTGCATTTTCCGTCACCCATTTGAAATTGCGGAGAACTTCATAAGCTTGGAGCTTTGATAGGCAATCTTGTCCCTGAGACTGTCATGGAAACAAAGCTGGGGCGAGAATTTGGTAATTTTTTACGCCTATTATATCTTTTTACCAATGTGATGATAATCCAAGATGAAATTATTTTGCTTTCCTTTTTGTTTGACCATTTATCTGATTTTTACAGTGAATGAATCTTCTAATGAGGAGCAACCTCATTATATCCCTTCTGAATTGGTCAACAGATTTTCACGCATTAATGGCAACACAGTGTATCACTGCTATTTAATAGAGTTGAAACAAGATTTTACCTATGATGTCTCACCTCGTGATGTTATTCTTGCCATAAGGCGTGAGCTTGACCCAGAAGTTATCAGGTCAATGGAATTTAAAATGTGTATTAACCGAGGGAGTCTCACAGTGAAGTTTAAATACATTGGAACAATAAACCTTGGCCTAAATGAGGTATGCCACCTTGATCTCTGTCTGTATTGTATAATATAATAGCAAGTCTTACAAAAGTTTAATGCAGTTAATGTATGTTTTTCCCCGTTCAGGTTCTCTTGTGCAGAAAATTCCAGATCGCTGTATTTGGGATTCTTTTTCATTATAATTTGGATAAGTTGATGGGCATTTTAAATGAACTCTATTTGGGAGATAATCCTGAGATGGATTATCTTCTACTTCCAGCCACTTTCATCCATATGAGACCTTTGACCATTGATTGGCCTTCGGTTACTTCTGTGTTCTCATTTAAAGAAGGTTGCACCAAACATGTTTCTAATATATGGACTAAAGATGATGTAGTTTGCTCATGCAAACTTGAGAATTCATTGGTCTATACTCCTCATAATGGTCATTTTTATATCATCACTGATAGAATGGAATTGGATGGAAACTCTCTGCTCAGACTCAGGGATGGCAAAGCAATGACATACAAGAAATACTTTGAAGAAAAGTATGATAATATATTTGTTGCTGTGGTCTAGTTTTCAAGTCAACATTTCTCAGTGGGTGTTTTATTCTGATATATTCTCATCCCTTATCCTCCATTTCAGGTATGGAATCCATTTGAGTTATGAAAACCAACAGCTATATAACGGAAGGCATATATTTCACGTAAAAAATTACCGTCTCAAAAGCAGACAAGCGAAGGAGAGAGGTTTGTATTTTGAATCTTGTTTTTGGACTCATAATTGTTAATTGTCTTGTGCGGGAAGGTTTCTGAAATAAGTGCAAAAGCTTTTTTTAGGTCCCCCCCCCCCCCCAAAAAAAAAAGTTTCAACTCTTTCTTTATATAAGATAAAGAGCATTTTTGTAAAAACTGAGGTTCAACCCTACCATATGACTATATGCAATGAAAGATAATAGTGGCCAGTATTAGTATCATTTGTCTCTTTATGTGCTGCTGAATATATATATATATATATATATATGTTTTTTTTCTTTCAGAATCAACCAAGGCTTCGGTTGAATTGCCTCCTGAACTGTGCACTATTTTTATGTCACCCATATCAGTAAGCACAATATATTCTTTCTCATTCATTCCATCAATAATAGATCGGCTTGAGTCATTACTTTTGGCTTCCAACTTGAAAAAGATGTGCAAGCAAAATGATATTCCAACATTCAAGGTAAGCTACTATTCTTTTGCCGACAAAATGAACTATCATGATCTAATTATAGTAGTTATGTTTCCATGTTCTGCCAAGGATTGAAAATTTCATGTCTTTCTACTGAGGCTCATTGGCTATCCATATGATGAAGAAAAGGAATATATGTTTTTGAAGATTAATAGTTTATGGAAATTTTGTTTTTTTTTTAATGGACCAAATAGAGAAGTAGTTTTAAGGGCAAACACTGATAAAAGCAGGGCACTAGTAAGAACTGCTTCGGCCTCTTTTTTCAAACAAGTCTTAACCAGTATGCTAAAAAGAGATTAATCAGATTACTAAACAATAATGTGACACTTTTGATATGATGTGAATTTTCCATGTTAGCATCTTTTGGTTTAACTGCGTTGTGACTTCTCAATATGAATGTAATTATTTGCTTAAAGATGTTTGATGGATTATTCTCTTTGCCATTTCATTGTTTCAGAAGGTTTGACTTTCACATAATGTCTACTGTAAACTTCTCTATCTCTTACTCACTGCCTTCATTATATCTTAATGGTGGAGTTTTATTTTGTCTTAGATGTATATACCTGCACTAAGGGACATTTGCTATATGCTATGTAGATCTTGGAAGCAATTACTGCAAAAGAATGCCAAGAGCAATTTCATTATGAATCTCTAGAGACTCTTGGCGATTCTTTCCTTAAGTATGCTGTTGGTCAGCATCTTTATCTAACCTATCCATTTGATCCAGAAGGGCTTCTTAGCACGAAGAAGGACAAGATGATATCTAATGCTGCCCTCTGTAGGTTAGGGCTCAACTCTAACCTTCCGGTATTCTCTCTTTTCATAGAACACCTTAACAAAGAAATGTAAAAATCCGCTTGTGTGTTGTACAGTATCCTGAAAATGGTTCCTTTTTAATTGCAGGGCTTCATACGAAGCAGCCCTTTTGATCCAAAGAAATGGATTATACCAGGAGACAGATCAAGAAATGTTACTTTAAAGGAGGAGTTGGCCTCTGATATGACAAGAATGTATGTTAGTGGGAATAGAAAAATAAAACATAAGATAATTGCAGATGTTGTTGAAGCCTTAATTGGGGCTTTCCTGAGCAAGGGTGGAGAGAAAGCGGCTTTGAAGTTCATGGATTGGATTGGAATAAAGGTGGATTTTGATATAATACCCAATAAGAGGATTTTAAGCCTAGAGCCAGAGAGGATTGTGAATGTCAGATATTTTGAATCCTTATTGAACTACTCATTCAATGACAGCTCTCTCTTGGTGGAAGCTCTCACCCATGGTTCCTACATGCTGCCAGAAACTCCATGTTATCAGGTACTTTAAAACCCAAAGCAGATTTTCATGCTGGTATCATTTCAGAAAAACCAAAAACTGTTCTACATTTGCTAGCATGGTTCAGGCACATACAAGTCATGAGACCCTTGAGATGATACTGAATTGAAGCTAACTTTAGGACTCCTGGTGATTTTCAGCCTAATAGTGGGGCTGTTCTTATTATTATTAGTTTATCATACGAAAGAAGACCTTAATTTGCTTACAGTTACATATGGAAGGCAAAATCTTCAGGGTCATTTTTGGATCTTTTTTTTTTTTTTGCAGCGACTAGAATTTCTTGGGGATTGTGTGCTGGATTTTCTCGTCACTGAGCACCTGTACAATAAGCATCCTGGCCTATCTCCAGGTTTGTTGACTGACATGAGGTCTGCTTCAGTAAATAATGATTGTTATGCACGGTCCGCCATTAAGGCTGAATTACACAAACACATACTCCATTCCTCTCAAAAATTAGAGAAGGATATTGTTAAAGCCACAAATAGTTTTGAAGAGTCTAGTGAGCCAACTTTTGGATGGGATACAGAGACATATTTCCCCAAGGTTAGCCCTCACTATTCATCTCATTGGTCTTTAAGCAATGCTTTAGTTGAGTCTATGTTTATTATACTATTGTCACGGTAGGTGCTTCAGTGCTTATATTCAAATATTCCTTTGGTGTCAAAGCACAAGCTGTCCTAGTTAATAACTTTACTTATCCTGTGTAGATGAGGTTCTAGCATTTAAACCTTATGTTAACATGTTTGTGAGTATTTAAATTGATTGTAATAAAGAAAATAATCATTTTGGTAGATTTGCTCATGATTAGAGTAGGCTTTTTTCTTTTTTTCCCTGGCCAGCGATTAGAGTAGGCTTTTCGATCTTCAACAATCACATGAATGTGTAGAGGGTATATTCATCTAGAGAGTGACAAAAGATAATTAGCTATGAAATCTAAATCTCACTTTTTTCCTTCTATTTTTCTCTAAACACATCATCTGCCTTCATTTTATGATTGTAAAGCTTTTTTGTTGAGATAACATGTACTCTCTCTAGTTCTATATACAGGAGCGAAATAATTGATTTGTAGAGCTTAAGGAAATTAGTTAATCATTTGTATTGGAAGTTATCCATTGATGGAAACTTCCTTAATAAGTACAATCAATATGGATAATTTTAAAAAAAAATTATAAATTCAATAGCAAAATAGATTTACAACTAAAACAAGTCCCTCAACTACCTCCTATGCTAGGGAATGGAGGGAGTAACATACACTGCCTCCATGGGAAGCTGTGCAAGGCATATAAAATGCCCTAATCTCGAGTCCGATGTTAATATTATACATTATTGACAGGTGCTTGCAGATATTATAGAGTCTCTGGCTGGAGCAATTTTGGTTGATTCTGGGTTCAACAAAGAGATTGTGTTCAAAAGCATCATGCCCCTATTGCAACCTTTGGTAACACCTGAAACTTTACCGGTTCAACCTGTTCGTGAATTGCAAGAACTCTGCCAAAAACAATATTATAAATTGGAGGAGCGATTGGTGTCTAGAAGCGATGGCTTAACTTGTGTCACAGTTAGGGTTCTAGCTAATAAGAAAATCTATGAGAAAACCTGTAAAGCTGCCAAAGGAGACCTAGCCAAAAAACTAGCCTGCAAGGAAGTTTTGACTTCCTTGAAGAAAATCAATGCTGTTTGAAGACACAAGCAAGTGGAAAAAAGTAATACGTAGTTAATATTGCAATATTGCATCACTTGAAGAGATCTGGTTTGGAAAGTCTTGTGATTACATAGAATTCTAAGTTTTGAATATTCCTTATGTTTTACTGTTGTAATATGGTGCGATATCCATTTCCCTTAGTTACCTATTTAGCTCTTCACTCGAAAAAGGAAGTCGCAAGTGAACTTTGGAACTCTTCAGCCACCGGTTGCAGTTCAGCCATTGCTGTTGAAGATGTCTTTTATGCTTAAAGTCTTTCTTTGTTGTAACATTGTTACTTTCTAGTTTTTACTGCTTAGGTTTGTACTGTGTGTTCTCGTTGTTGTTGTTTCCCCAGTGTAGAGAATGTTCACATCGTCCAGTTACTGTTCTTTCCCCTTTTAAGGTTCAGTGCAGAAAATTCCATATCACTGTATTTGGGATTCTTTCTGTTTATAATATGGCTAAGTTGATAGACGTTTCAAATGAACTCTGTTTAGAAGATAATCTTGAGTTTGATAATTGATTAGCTTCTGCTTCCATCAACTACACGTCAAAGAAGACCATGGACTTAATTTGTAAATGCGAGATTTCTGGAATCCTTATGGAACTACTCATTTAACGACACCTCTCTCTTGGTGGAAGCTCTTGTCTACTTGCTACTAAAAATTCCTGTTATCAGGTACTTTAAAACCAAAAGCTGATTTTTGCATTGGTATTACTGATATTAATAAAACCAAAATTTGTACTTCATTTGCATGTACAAGTCATAGCATGCTTGGACTTAATAACGTTAAACAAAATATTACCCCAAGTTCTTAATATAAGATCTAGTTTGTAGTTCAAATTAAACTTTAAACTACAAGTTGTATCTTATATTGAAGACTAGAGATAGTACAGACACTTGAGGTGAGACTGAATAGAAGTTAGCCTTAGGACTATGGATGAATTTCCACCTAATAGTAAGGCTATGATTATTAGTCACTTTATCATATAAAAAGAAGACGTTAATCTGTTTATAGTTGTCTTGTCTGTGAATGGCAAAATCTTTAGGGTCATTTCATCGACAAGAAGCTGGCTTTGGAGGCCGTATTCAAATAGATAGTGATGCAAGAAGATTGACTGAATATGAAGCCCGTATCTCAAAATCAGTTATGGAATCTAATACTCACCCTTTTCCCTTTTGTTTTTCTCTAAACCCACCCTCTGCATTCAATTTATGAATGTAAAGCTTCTAGGTTGAGATCACATATAGAATATACCTCCTCCAGGGGAAGGTGTGTAAATCATATAAAATGCTCTAATCAATGGCTGAAATCAATTGAATCCACCTAGTGCAGTCATTTATTGATAGAAGACAATCCAGGTCCCATGTAAGCATGATTTTTGATTTGAAGATACAGGACTGTAAATGTGTTTTTAAAAGCTGCGGCAATTGATTTTAGATTAGGGTTTAGGGCTTCAAACATGATTTTATAACTCATTTGTATCCACAAATTACATCTTGCCGGACACAAATCAAAGCAAAACACAATGAGAAGAGGATCGTTGAGACTTTCAGCCTTCAGAGCTCAATCTTCATCCCTGGTCGCTGGTATGCATTTCCCATGTGCTGTAAGAGGCATCACCCATATGTGATAGATGGTGTACTTGTTGCTGAGGATGATTCACATGCTTGACACTTCGGGCAATTTGGCATCCTAGAGGATAAGAAGACATGCTGCCTTGATGTTGCAATAACGCCATATCACGCTCTGCAAGGGCTGCCTTTTTTGAAAGAAAGGGATAGATTTCTCTCTTGAATGGCTGCATCTCTTTCGGCCATAATTGCTGCAATTTGCTTCATGGAAGGTTGATGTTGCATCAACCACTGCAACAAGAGTATTGAGATCAATATTAAAGACAATTTTTTTTTATAGGAAATACATTTCACACTAGCATTTTTTTAAAAAAAAATTAAAGGAGCAGACACTAACGGCTTAAGATTACAAGCAGGATTGAACCTGTAACCTCTCACTTAAAAAGAGAGTTTGCATGCCACTAGATTACAAGGTGATTGGCTTGACACTAAACAATTACTACATGCAAACTTCAACAGTTGAGTATATTAATGAGCAGAAAGTTATTTCAATATATCTGCCCTTGAGCTGATTTATATTGATCGGCTTTGTTCCTTCCATTTTCACGACGCCCAGTATCATCCATTAGAAACCCACAAATGGACACAAGATAATTACTTTTCTAGGCCTCCCCAGGTAGTATAGAACTTGGTCAATTCAGCAATAATATGCTACAAGTTCTGCATACACACCCGTATTACTAACACAATTTAAGCATCTCATTACTGCTGCTGTTTTCATGGGGCAATGGGGTTTGAGAAAGAATGAGTTTCCCTCTCAACAAATCCACACCTCTAGAACTCTATCAAAAAATGACTGCTTCAAGGATTGAATAATTTACCATGATTATAAATATAGATATTATAAATGCAAAAGATGAACGCAAAACTGAATATAATTACCCCTGCATATAAGAATACAACATATGTAAGTGAAAAAATAAAGCACAAGGATTCCAATTTGCAAATGACGTTACCTATATAGGAACACAACACGCATAGGAGGGCAGAGACATTACAGAGATATCCATTTATGGTATAATATGTTCCATCTAAGCGTTAGAATGCAAGAGTTGTCAAACAACATATCCAAAGCATAAAATAATTAAGAGTAATTTACGTCCTATGAAATAAGGGGTACAGCCATTTAAGGTCATCTGTGGTTGCATTGAAGTAAACATATTTCATCATTCAACAATTTTAAATTCTTTTTTTTTTTTTGATCCAGGCACGAGAATTATATCTTATCACAAAATGCATTTTTCATCATATTTTTCTTTCCATTCCATACCATTCTAATCATTCTATGCACCAAACATCTTGTTAAATGCCCTCTATTCACAATACTTGATACAGTTGATACTCAACAAGCAACAATGAAAACCCTAAAATAAGAAACATTAAGAATAGATGGTGAAAAATCATATAAGAATTGTGGCGAAAGAAAAGAGAGGCAGACTGATCCATATTTCGACTCTCGTGTATTGAACACAAAATGCATACATAAAGACTGTAAATTGTAGAATTAAGGAGTGCAAACACTTAATTGACAAACGCCCCCTTTTGTTTATTTGTGTTTGTGTGTTACTTACAACTGCCTAGCCCAAGAAGGTCAATTTCTATTTCTAAACTTCACTTGTTGACAGGAAAGAGAGTTTCAAATGATGAATTATGATTTCAGGGCAGTGATTGTAGTAAACGGCAACTGACCTTATGTTTGAGGTCCTTGGTTGAAGATTTAAGTTGCAAATTTATAATAAACAGTAAGAAGGGTAACACAAAATCATGTCACGTAATACAATGCCTAATTCTGGGAACAATGACGGGGAAAAAATAAAATAAAAAGGCTGTTAGAAGGAAATGAAGGAGATGAATATGACAAAGGTAAATCAGTACATATAAGAGGAGGGGGGAACAAGGGAAGACAAGTTGAAGTAGTTAAGACAAGCACAGAAAAACTGCACCATAATACAAGAGTCAGTAAGAATACGACTAGGATGATGAAGACGATGTCCGATTGAAAACGAAAAGGGGCGGAACAGGAAAGGGTTAAAAGGGGTGAGACGACGACGAAAAGCGACGGTTGGGGGGGAAGAAAGGGGTGAGGCGAGGTCTCTGATCAATGGCCTCGGAACTTCGACAGCAGCCGGCCGAAGGCGACGGTGACCAGAGCTGATGTGCGAAATGGGGAAGCCGAGGACAGAGTTCCTGTGCCGATGATTGGTACGACGGTGACGAATAAATCACGTGGCATCTGACACGACTATGACTGGGATAATATGATGAAATGTCATGTGATCTGTCATGTGACTCAGATGATGACTGGCCAATTGCCAAATTGGTGATTTGTCTGTCAATGTGGCACCTAACAAGATGATGACTAGGCTAAATGAGACGTGTCTACTGGGCATACGTGGCCGATGCTGGCAGGCTCAGTTGGATGACATGGCAAGATGAGGTGCCTCTAACTCAAATGACGATGAGGACAGAAAGACACAGGCAGGCAATGTGACACACAACTCGGATGATCACACGGAAGATGAGACCACATGGCAGATGATGACATGTCAGATTGGTGATGTGTTTGCTGAGGTGGGTGCTGACTGCTGATGGCATATCTACTAACCGACGTTTCATGATGATGTGTCCTCTCACTTTGATAACATGTCGATTTGTGAGGTGTTTGTTAGGTGTCTGTTGACTCAGCTGACAACATGTTGTAACGTGTCATGCTGATGTGCTGACTAGGATGATGATGCAGCCAAAAGTGACAACATGGCAGCTGATTTGGCAATTGACTTGACGGTGGCATTTGGTGACGTGTCTGTTGAGGCGGGTGCCAACTGACATTGACAATTTGCTGATGTGTTTTGTCACGAGGGCTGTGACTCCGATTATGACCGGGTGCTGCTGATGACGTTCCCAGTCACATGCATGCTTGCTCATGACTTGAATGGCTTTGATGACGTGGGGCTGACATATGATGAGATTTTTGTTTTTGGGCCACGTTAATTGGCCCATTTTTATGTGATCCTTCGTTTGAGTTAGGCTCATCTGATAGGCTTTTCAAATTTTACGGATCAAGCATTGATCTCATTGAGGGCCAAGAATTTTTTTTTATGAGTACAATTAACATGTGCATGCAAAGGTGCGTACATTTATTTTCTGTAAATATTTTTTTGCCAACATCTGCAATTTTTTTGTGAGAATCATCAATGTTTAATATATTAATAGAAATTTCATTAAAGAATAGTCTATATGTAATATAAAAATTAAATAAATACAAAATAAAATCAAATAAATATACTATATTTATTGTAAAAACAATTATGATGAATACATAAAAAGCCCAAATTTTTTTTATATTTTCAGCAAAAATATTATTTTTAACTGCATTCTGAATATTATCAATAATCAATAACTAAACCCTCCCCTCAAAAGACCTTTTTTTACCACCAAAAA